CTGCCTCTGCGGAAGGCACCGAGAGGTACATTTTTCGCGCAATGGTCAAAATCAAGGTTTTGTAACGCGAGCTGTGCCACAGTGAAATGGAACTAGCCTGTGTGCGTGTGTGCGATGCGAGTGCGAAGTGGAGGGGGAAAACTCTGGCGTTAGCCGTTACAGCGGATACACCGATGATTTACGGTTAGGAAGTGGGTCACATCTCCTGTGATAAGCTGATAACCCCTCCCTCCGCGCGTGTATGTCCTTATCTCACCAGCACCATCTCGTAGCAACAGAAGCCGGCCGGCAGCCCAGCGACCCCGAGAAAGTCAGCGACTTTCTGATCGGCCGGAAATCCGTCGACGCTGCGCAGCCAGCGCAGTCTGAACCCCAGCCGGTGGAAGAGCAGCTCCAAGGCCACGACAAACTGGCGCGGTGTCGGCGGAAGCATCGTCGGTGAGAGGTGCGCGTCGAGGAACAGCAGCTTCACGCCGCCTAGGATCTTCAGCGCGCGCGGATCCGCCGCCATTTGCTCGAGCGCCGCCCACTCGCACCCCTCACAATCGATGGAGAGGATGGTTGGCCAGCCCCCGTCGGCTTTGTTCGCCGCCACCAGCTCGGCCATTGTGTACAGCACGGTGCCGTCTATGGCTCCGAACGAGTTGATGGTGTTGCGCGAGCGGCCCGCGCCGAGGCCCGCAAAGTGGAACGTGAGGTTGCCGTGCTGCCGGCCCTTTCTGAGCTTCAAAGCGATCTGCTGTGCCGCCGCCTGTTGCCGCTGACGAAGGGCAATCGTTGGGTCGTAAGCGTGTACGATGCAGCCCCGCTTGGCAGCATGTATCGGAAAGCCCCAGGCGTCCTGCCGACCTTTTGGGAGATCGCCAACCCCGATGACATACGCCACGCAGCGTGTATCGACGGGCCACCAAGCCTCGCACTCGGGCTGCGACGCATGCAAGGGCGTTCGCGCCCCGGGGTTGCTCGGGCAAGCGAGCCTCTCGGAGCGGCCAGCGCCACCGGGAGCTGCCACTCGCGTGGGCAGTGTGCCGTTGGCCCAATAGCGCCGTGCGTGAGGTGAGTCGCCATTGATGACGTCAGTCCAGTGCGGTATCGCCTGATACAGTCGTTTCTCGAGGGCGGTCTCGCTCTTTGCGTCTCGCCAGGAGGCAGACCAGTCTCGGCCGCGCCAGATGTTGAGGGAACGAGAGCGCCACTCGGCAGGCGGCGGTGGCGGGCGCCAGTGCATGTTGCGCCAGTCAAAGACCGTCTCGTAGTCTACGGCGCCCGTCGATCCCATTTTGCTGGACACACGAAGGCTAGCTCATATGTGCGTGTGGGGTGTGCGTGCAGGAGTATGGCGGCGAGACCTAGCCGCCAAACAGCGCGGTTCGGAGCTGCAAAAGGCAGGTGTGCAAAAGGCCTGTTTTGCCGGAAGAAACTCGAGTCGCGCAGGGGGGCAAAACTCTTTTAGCAGTTTTTTCTCCTTTCGACGCCTGTGTGAACGACACATATAGTAGCAATGAGCTCACTAGCTAGAGCTCACACTAGAGGCCGTCATCGCATTCGCCCTGGCCCAGCGCTGACTTCCGGTCGCGGCGTCGTGGTGCTGGAACCGATGGCGAAAGAGCAGAGGGTCGTCGGACGCCACGCCCAACGAGTGGTGCGGTCGGAGTCCCTGAGCGTGCGACAGGAGCATGCCGGTCGGGTCGGCGACTTGAACATTGTGGAGCGGTGTGCTCGCGAGGTCGGGCAGCCCCGAGGCGCTGCGTGGGCGAAGACGAGGAGCTGAAAACCCGGCGGCATAGAGGGCGTTGTGTAGCCTAGCTTTTGGGTAATATAATAAAACCCGGCGGCATCGTTCGTTCTCCGGTCGAGCACGCTTGTCGCAGCCCACCAATGGACCAACCCTCTGCTCGAGTCTTCCGCCTACAAGTGCGCCCGCCTGCCCGCCTGAACTGCACGCGTGGTCCAGACGCCCGGCGACCGCAGCCGCCCCCCCCGCGTCCCGGGCGGGCCTCCCCATCTCGCGTCCGCGCCGCCTCCCTGTGCGTCTGCGGCGCCGACGCCTGTGGCGCCTGCGGCGTCGGCGGCAGCACACCCGCTCCTCATACACACCCTTCACGCACACCATTTCGTGGGAGAGGGTGGACACGGCCCGCGCGTACACTCTCCTCGGCCCGCATACCTTGCTTTGGCGCATGATGCCCCTCTATGTTTTGCGGCGGCGGTGGCGCTGCCAACTGCTGTGGCGCTCACACCTCTCTTTCCCCCGCGCCCGCAGGAGAGACGATCGTGGGAGTACTCACGTTGCGGGCCGTTATGCTGCCCAGCGCCGTCGGCCTGGACATAGCGATAACGCACCAGAAGATCAGCAGCACGCAGGGCGGGTTCGCAGGCGTGCTCGACGACGGTGACTGGTTTGGACACTCCGTCGCCTTCATCAGCGATCTTGATGGAGACGGAGTGTCCGACCTCGCGGTGGGGGCGATCTTCGATGACGATGGCGGCCCAGACCGCGGCGCGGTGTACATCCTCTTCCTGAACACCGACGGCACCGTCAAGTCGCACACGAAGATCAGCGACACGCAGGGCGGCTTCACGGGCGGGCTCCCATGGGAACGGCGCTCTCGGCAGAGCTTTCGTGGTGGGGAAACGGGTGCGGGGAGGTGCGGGGAGCGCTCTCCCGGCTCACCGGGAGGGGAAACGCCGGATTGTTTTACATGGGTCGGGAGGGCAGCTCACGGCGGTCACGCTGTGCGCACCTTGAGTCGCGAGGGCGATGCCGCGACGGTTACCCGACGTCGGACGTGCCACAGTGGTACCAGGGTGCAGGCATGAATGGGTATGACCTCGAAAAAAATCGCGATTTAGAGGACTTTTTTGAAATATTTCGACCTATGGTCACAATGCCAGAAAGCCCTTATTCCCCCGGTTCAACCACCGTTTAGGGGGCTCCACGCACTTTGATGTCGTAATTTTCTTACTTGCCCCATGGATGATGATATTTGCGAGGTCCCCAATTTTTTTGACGAGCTTTTTCGAATCCCCGTCATAATCGAAAAAGCTGCGTCATTGCTGGGTAGGGGGGGTGCTTTGCTGGATCCCAGGATTGGCACGGTTGAGGCCCTGCCTGAGGATGTGTGGGTGACTCGTTGGATGAGGGATGCGCCCAGAGAGAGGAGAGAGAGAGAGAGAGAGGAGAGAGGAGAGGGTGAGGGAGTGTGCACACGTGAGGAGCGGGGAGGGTGTCTGTGGTGGGCTGTAGTCATACTACGTGGTTACAACCACCCGCCCCTCAGGAGCTTAAGGTAGAGTAGTTGGGTGTCAAGACACCGGGGTCGGAGGCAGGCGATGGCCAGCCTCAACGACGGGGTGACTGCGAGGCAGTCCGAGCACGAACTAGTCGTCGATCCGCTGACGATCCCCGCCGCTTCACCGTCGGAGCGGCGGCGGGTGAGAGTCAGTCAAAGGTCCACCACACAGCCTCCAGCCGCCAGCCTCCACCTCCACCGTCGAGCCGCGATCGCTGCCGCCCGCGACGCCGCCCGCCGCGTCAGAAGCCCGCGACGCCCGCGGCGAGTCGAGTCGGAGAGCCGAGCCGCACCAGCAGCAGCATCTTCACCAGCAGCAGCACCAGCAGCAGCAGCAGCAGCAGAGAGAGGCGCCAATTTTGAAGTTGCCCGAGACAGCCTGGAGATGGCCCCGCGTTGTAGCCCCGGTGCCGGCGCCTCACATCTCAGCATTCCGGGGCCCGTTCCGCCGCGCAGTCCAGCAGCAGGATCTCGGGAACCGCTTTGTCGACAAAGAGGTCGATCAAAATTTCGCCGAAGAAGCGTCACCGGCGGCACGCCGGGATGAATCCGGACTGTTCACATTGTTCGGCACCGCGACGGCGAGCCGCCGCGGGCCCACAGGAGGGCTCGGAGCCGCGGCACCGGTCCGCGCCGCCAGCAGGGCGAGAGCACCAGCCTACAACCTGCCGACATGGCAGTTGCGACGGCGCTTTCACACACACACACACACACTCACTCAGCTGGCAAGAATGTAAGCACGCGCACCCAGCGTCCCAGCGGGCCGGATGATTGGCATCGGGTTGCGGGCAAGAGATCCCTAGCCCTGTCGGAGTGGGCTGGAGTTTCGGGTTTCGGACGCGTCTACACTGGCCTGGCAGTCACTGCCCAAAACTCTGAGAGCGGGAAAACTTGCCGCGTGCGTCCGCTTCTACAGACCACTGCTGACCATGCCGGACCCCTGGGAGCATTACTTTGCGGACGTCTACGGCCAACAGCACGCCAAGGTGCTTGCGGCAGACCCTCCCTCGCTCGGCTGGTACTACCTCTCTGCGCCCTTGGCCAGGCCCGTGAAGGTGTGGTACGTGGGATGGCCACAGGCCGCGTCCTCGAGTAATCTGGAAGGGGTCTTCACAAAGATCCAAGCCGGCGACGGCTTTGTGAAGCTGTACGAAGAGCTCGGCTTCTTCTTCGTATCGGCGGCTGACTGTCGTTGCCGTCTATCCCTTTCTCGACTGTCTGAGCTTGTGCGGCTTTAGTCCTTGTGTTTTTATAAATAAATAAATACAACGGACATCCCAATACGTGTTTTTGTGTGTCTCGCGCGCGCGCCATGCGCGGGGTTTTTGTGAGAATGAGCGCCCCATGCTCGCCGACCTGGCTCGGGGCGACCTGGCCTCGCTGCGCGCCTTCCTCTCCGGGCGGCGGACGCGCGGCACGTCGCTCGCGGCCCAGCTCGACGCGCGGCACGACACCGAGAGGCAGGACACGCTGCTCACCTGGGCCGCTCGTCACGGGCAGGCCGAGGCGGTGCGGCTGCTGCTCGAGGGCGGCGCGAGCATCGGGGCGACGACTGTTGACGGCGCTTCCGCGCTGTACATCGCGAGCCAGGAGGGCCACCTCGACTGCGTCCGGCTGCTCCTCGAGGCTGGCGCGGCGGTGGCTCATGCAGACGCTGAAGGCCGCACGCCGCTGTTTGTCACCTGCCGGGAGGGCCACCTCGAATGCGCCCGCCTGCTCCTCGACGCTGGCGCGGCGGTCAACCAAGCCCCGCAGAGCGGCGCCACGCCGCTGTACGTCGCGTGCCAGAACAACCATCCCGAGGTCGCCCGGCTGCTCGTCGACGTTGGCGCGGCGGTCAACCAAGCCCCGCAGAACGGCGCCACGCCGCTGGCCGTCGCGTGCCAGGACGGCCACCTCGAGATCGTCCGGCTGCTCCTCGAGGCCAGCGCAGCGGTCAACCAAGCCACGCAGAACGGCGCCACGCCGCTGCTCATCGCGTGCCAGCAGGGCCACGTCGAGTGCGTGCAGCTGCTGCGCGGCGCTGGCGCTGACATCGACCAAGCCACGCAGGATGGCTTCACGCCGCTGCTCATGGCGAGCCAGGAGGGCCAGCTCGAGTGCGTCCGGCTGCTCCTCGAGGATGGCGCGGCGATCGACCAGGCCGATGAGCAAGGCGCCACGCCGCTGTTCGCGGCGTGCGAGGACGGCCACCTCGAGGTCGCCAAGCTCCTCTCCTCCTACGGCGCCTCCCGCGACGATACGCCCTTCGGCACGCCCGAGGAGGTTGCAATCGAAGGAGGCCACGCCGACCTCGCCGCCTGGCTGGTCGCCAGCCGCGGCTGGACGCCGCTCCAGCATCTCGAGGCGTGCCCGAGACTAGCGGCCGAAGGCGTGAGCGCGTTGTCCTCACGCCCATTGCCCCTCTTCCGCAGGCGCTCACCGTCGAGCGGGCGCGGGCGCTGCTGCGCGGCGGCGCTGACCCGCTCGCCGGCGCGCCTTCTTCCCTCGAGCGGGCGCGCGTCCTCTGCTCGTGGGGCGAGTCGGATCCGACCGCTGCGGCCGTCGGTTCCACAGTCGAGATCCGCTCTCTCGTCTCGCGGCCCTCGATGAACGGCAAGGTCGGCGTCGTCGTCTCCGCAAACGCTTCGACGGGCCGCTTCGGCGTGCGCGTGGCGGGCGAGGCCAAGGCACTCGCACTGAGGCGCGCTATGGCCTCTCCCCCACTCGCCGGATCCTCTCTTTGACACACCTCTGCCCTCCCTCAGGCCGGCCAACCTGCAGCCAGCGGCCAAGGCGGTGGAGGTGGGCAGGCTGGTCCTCAAGGCGGCGGAGTGGTCGCCGCAGTCGCACGAGCTCTTCCCGACAGCGGCTCGCAAGCGGGCGGTCGAGGTGATGCGGCTGGGCTACCTGATCGCCTGGGACGAGGAGCGCTTCGACAGCCGCGAGGGAGCGGCTCCAGAGCTGGCGGACATCTGGCGCGGCTTTGTGCTGCCAAGGGTGGTGGTGCGATGACTCACTCAATCCGCACGGGGTTTTCAGTGAGAGGGCCAAACCCCCAGGTGGGGGTCTTGCCGTTGCCCCTGTGCGGTCGCGTCTATTCGGGTTCCTTTCTTTTCTCTCGGTGCGCGGTTGAAGTACACTTGATCTTTTTGTTGTTTTTGCCCTCGTGGTGTACCTTAGGGTACCCCTAGGGTTCTGAGGGCCGGATTGTTTTAAGACCTTTTAAGAAATGAGGAGATTTGGGGGCTCAAATTATCATTATGGTTTAAGAAAATCGGCCTCACCGGCATGCGTCGCTGGGTTCCGCGCCGGTTTCTCCAATACTGCCGTTATTAGGCACAAACCCGCCACTGAAGACACATCTGTAAGTCTGGTGCACTGGCAGGAGCCATACTCGCATACGATAGGGGACGCGTGCCAGCTGACTGTAGCCAGCTTCCCGGCCTCCGGCGTCTACCGGGGAGCCTCCCGGACCATCGTGCATCGACCTCGGGAGCTCTCCCGCACCGTTTAAGCGTTTAAGACCGTTTAAGGAATCGGCGGCCCAGCAGCTCTTAAAACCTGCCATGGCAGGTTTTAAGCCGTTTAAGCCGCAGGCACCCCAGGGCCCACCCTTTTAAGCCTAGGGGTACCCTAAGATGAACTCTACGATAACGGACCCGCCCCCGCGGTCTCTCTATCGTCCTCGGCTCGTCCCCCGACTCTACTCGCAGAGGCCGCGTCAGCTCGTCTCTCGCCTCCTCCGACAGCTGACCCCAAGCCCCCCTCGGGGCCCTCCGGCCTCGGCCCTCCGGGGCTCGCCGGCGGGTCCGTTATCGTAGAGTTCATCTTTTTGTTCTTTTTGCCCTCGTGGTGTACCTTGTGTTAGTGCCAGTGCGCGCCAGTCCCGTGCCCAGTGTTGTGCGAGGAAGTTTTGTTGCATATTCTTTCGCGCGGCTAAATTCTTTTCTTCGTAGAGGCAATTTCAGCCTTCCACTTCTCAAAAATGCTCTCGTCGCTCGCGGCCCTTACCTCCGGCCACTCGTGGGACCACTTCGAGTGCGACTGTTCTTGGCGCTCAAAATACGCGTGCCCGCTCGACGAATTGTTCCTCACCAAGATTGACCGGTCCGGTGACGGCCACATTGACAGGCACGAAGCAATCGATCTGAATGCGGTGCGGCGCCACCATCACGCCGTCGTTGACGGGCGGACAAAATTCGCCACACCTCCCCGACGCTCTCCACAGGACGGGTTCCTGACGTCGACTGAGCTCGTTGCTGCCGACACGGACGGCGACGGACAGTCAAGCAAGTGTGCTCGGTCGGAAACGACTCACGCCCCGATTTGCCGCCAAGCTATTAAACGAGCGCCGCATCCTCCAATAGGCACGAGGCCATCCTCGCTCGCTCGCACGCCGGCACCGACGGCTTCGCGACCGACGACGGCTCGGCGTGCTTCACGTTTTGCTGCCGGACGCCCTCACCGCCGCCATCGCCGCCGCCGCCGCGGCCAGCGCCGCCGCCATCGCCGCCGCCGACAGACTGGTTCTCGATCTGGCTGGCTGCTGCCCGGCCCACCGCCGACGCCGCACCGCCGTCTCCCCCTCCCTTCCCCCACGACGCGGAGGGGGCGACGCCGCGCCACTTCCGGGTGGTTGCAGTGCTCGCTCTCGGAGCGACTGTGGTGTTCGTCCTCTTCGGCACGAGGAGTGCGCTCGTGGCGAGCACGCACGCGCCGGCCGCGCCGGGCGACGGGAGCCCCCTCTCGAAGACGCGCTCCATCTCGTACGCCCCGCCCTCCCCTGACCCCCCCCCCCCCTCCCCCCCCTCTCCCTCGGACTCCCTTCTAGACCTGCTAAGACCTCCCTCATCTACACAACCCCCCGCCCCCCTCCCCCCCCTTCCTGCTGCCTCTCACGGTACCGCCCTCCTGCAAGGTTCGCCTCGCTGCGACTCGACGAGGAGACGCCCGACGACCTGATTCCCGACGGCCTGCCGCCGGTCGCCGCGACGCCGGCGATGGACGAGGTGCGCCGGGCCGAGGAGGCGCCCGAGGAGTCTGCGGAGGGCGTGTTCTCAGCCTGGGAGCTAAGGGACATGCTTGCGCCCGCGCTCCCTCCGCCCCCGGCCTCGCCCCTTGTGGCGACTCCCGCCAAGTCTCGCAACGAGATGATGGCGACGATCCACGAGGCCTCAACTCTCCCCCCCCCTCTCCCCTTCTTGAGATTCTCACATGCAGAGTCCACCCTCCCCTCGCCCTCCCCTCGCCCTCCCCTCGCCCTCCCCTCACCCTCCCCT